AAAACCAGAAATTCAAAATATTAATCAATGGATACGAAAATGATGGATTGAGCGACACAAATAAACAAATCAAAGTTTGAGCCTAAAACTGCAATCACTAGCTTTGATGTTGATTTTATTGTTTGTTGATAAACTATCAACCACAAGCTTGCAATTCCCCAGTATCCGAATCTTCTTCAGCTTCAATTTCCCCAGTTTAACGGCAACAGGCGCATCCACTTTGAGATTTAACGGCACACGTCCTGTCTGTTGCTGCTGCTGCAATGCGGACAAGACCGTGTTTCCGTACTGCGCTCTTCCGGTTAGAGCCACATTCAGTTTAGTCACATTGCGATGCCCCTGATAAAACCTCGGAATGGGACCTTCACAGAGCTTTGTCTTTGTGTACCACACACCGATATGGCCTCCTTTCTCGTAATAAATCCCGATTCTCTTGTTCGGATTACGAGCCGTGATCTCGACTTTGAACTCCGCAGAAAGAGAGAGGTCTAGATTGATTCCAAGGTTGCTAACTCGTAAACTGTCCACCTCGTATTGCGGGAGTTTGGGGCGGAAGACGAAGTATATAACCGCAACCGCTACCGCTAACGCGATCAAGGCAGTGACTAGAAGGCTTAACGCCCAGCAGAAGCATTTGCAGCACATATTTCGTTTAGTACACATCACCGCAGGTGGCGGAATTGGCCGTTGTATTGGAAGCACGTCTGCTTTTCCTGGAGCTGATGATGTTTTCGTCTTGTTGGCTTCCATTTGAAGAACCGGATAAACTCTCTGTTGATTATCTCCCATCGTCTACAACCTTGTATTTACTAACTAATGCACCAACATGTATATATTCTGTTTTTATTTTGTTTTGTTATTTTGTTTCCATGCATGACTTTACCACCATCTTACCTTCCTCACCTATAACGTTGAATTAATCACATACAAAATGGATTAGAGGTTGTTCAACCGTTAATGTAGTCTATAATTAATTCGATACAAACAAAGCAAGAAAGTATTCGGTATGCTATATTGGTTTAGTTACTTTGGCAATATTCCAATGTTTTTCAGCCACGTATTAAACAAGTTAAAATAGTCATCACAAATGATAAAATAGGAAGCTTAGGAAGAACTTTTGAATCTAAACGCATTTACGCTAGACATGTATGTTAGAACTTAGAAGATATTGAAATGAGCTCAAGTTAAAAAGGAAGATTAAGTTAGGTGCACAGAAATTCTGTAGCAACAATTGATGAAACATGATTTAGCACAGGATTTTGCTGATTTTGTTTACGTGTCCCAGATTTGGAAGATTTTGGAAAATAATTAGGAAAGCAAAGAAAAAAAACTTGGAAGATTTAAAATATTAGTTTGATAAAGTTAAGAGTTATAAGCAGATAGAATTTTGGGAAAATTAGTAAAACAACTTTAAAAAATGGCATAATTACTAAAAACAATTTAAAACTTAACAAAAGTCATAAAAGACATCTAAAATTTAGTAAAAAGTTTTTATCACGAAAATGTCATTCTAATTATTAAAAAAAAAAAATTTCAGAAATTTGTTTGAAACCGCGGCCGCGGAAGCACCGGAGACATGCTCGGCGGAGGTGTGCCGCCAAATTTAGATAAAATCGGATTGAAAATCACAAAAAAAACTTGAAATCTTTTGATTTTTGGTTAGAAAAGAGATATATGATGTTAGATCTACTAGTTTTAGGCTAAATCCAGTTGAAAACAAGTTAAATACAGTAAAAACGAGCTAAAAGGTAGTTGGCCGCCATTGTTAGGGTTTGACAGAAGCTTGGTTGTGTGGAGAAAATGACCTGTAAATTACGATTTTACCCTCTATTGAATAACTCTACCACGACTATAAATAAGTCTACTACATATTTATAAATCTACCACCACTACAAATAATACTACATATTATAAATCTACCACTACCACGACTATAAATAAGTCTACCACATATTATAAATCTACCATTACTATAAATAAATCTACTACTACTATTGATAATTCTACCAACTAAAGGTTGTTTAGTAAATAAGTGAAAAGATTGAATAAATCTACCACTACAATAAATAAATCTACCACATATTATAACTCTACCACTAGTATAAATAAGTCTACGATTGCGCGAACCATCAATAAGTCTACCGATCACAAAATAATTCTACCACAACTACTAATAAGTCTATCACTCAAAAATAAATCTACCACTATTGTAAATAAGTCTACGATTGCGCGAACCATCAATAAGTCTACCGATCACAAAATTAACTCTACCACCACTAGAAATAAGTCTACCGATCACAAAATTAACTCTACCACTATTACAAATAAATTTACCACATTTTATAAATCTACCACCACTATAAATAAGTCTACCATTGTGCGAACCATCAATAAGTCTACCGATCACAAAATTA